GAGAGAGAGAGAGAGATTTCTGCATATATTGTGCAATCAATGAATAATGGCTACTTGCAATGTAAATTCAAACTGTATGTACATATGTCTTTGTTGGTTTCTTTATTGGGAAGCATGATATTGGCTGACATCACATAGGACATTGTTTTTGAAAGGTAACCAAGAAGTCTGACATGAGCGATTTCTACGCCAACCTTTTGACTAAGAATGTAGCGTTTGGTGCTAAAGCAAGCGCTTCGGATAGGACATCCAGAAAACCTGCACCCCTTGAGGAGCCAAGACACAGTGCAAACTCACCTCATGTTGGCCTTGAAGATTCAAAAGAGAGTGTAGGTGCATCTCAGATGCAAGAACATTCTAGCACACCTCCAGTGGAAATGCAAAATCATCAAGCGGAGAGACACAGTGATAACCCCTCATATGCTGAGTCAGTGTTGCATCCTTCTCTCTCTGAAAATGTTGAAAATAAACATGTTTCGGCTGGTGAAGTTGATACTTCGGTTGAAGGTGAGAGACGGCCCCAATATAAGAGAAGCGAGGATGCTTTAGCTGCTGCTAAAGAGCGGTACTTGGCTCGTAAGAGAGCAAAAGAATAGTAGAGCCTTGTTTTTTCTCTCTCCACAAAAGTAGAGCCTTGTTTTTTTTCTCTCCACAAAAATATCATCGGTTGGTTTTCCATCGCTACTTGGTGGCAGATACACTGGCTTCTGGTTCTGACGAATAGTGATTGGTAACAGGTCTTGGTGCAGCTTTCAACACTCCCATGTCTATACTTCGTTTTGTTTATTCTCTCTGTCTCTCTCTTACTGCTGTTCCTCTTGCTCCTTAACGCTACTTTTTTATCCACTTCTTGTTTCATCATCTGTGCTCATTTTTTATTTTCACTACTGACATGTAGCTTTTTGTTTGTGTGCTCTGAACACATTTAGATGTATGCACTTACTGATAGAATTGTTATTTATGGAAAAGAAAATCATGAGTGCCATGTGTAGAATGGTCGGGTCATTGGCACTCTTTTATATGCAGTTTGCATCACCCACAAGTTATTGTTGATTTTAAATTTTGAAAGGATGGAATAAGGCACTGATTGATGACGACAGGCAAATTGAGAGTTCAGAAACATTTTCAGCTAGGTTAAGATGAAAGAAACGCATATTGATCACATAGGCTCTGCCTTGAAGTCAAATGCTATGTTTTGTAAAAAAAAAAACCTCAAGGACATGAAAATAGGCTGATTTAAAAATCCTCTCTTGGAAATGGGCCTTTTAATCCCCCTGCAAATTCTTTTCGGTTATATTATTATATACTTAACACATATGAGTTCCCACCAGATATTTCTATTTTTGAACTTCAAAATCAGAAAACAATAAATGTCATTGCACCATTTACAAAATAAAGGACGTGTGATTCAGGGATGGGTTGGATCACAAATAACTACATCCGGTTTATGAATGGCTACGAACACAAATAGTTACATCTCTACATGCTTTTAACGTGAAAAAAAGGAGAATTTCAGAAGCCATTTATGGACAATTTGTACTCTGCATCACTTATTCGTTCTCTCCACAAACTCTTTGAACTTAAATCTGCTCACTTCCATTTTGTTTTTGCTTGATAGCATGCTTTTATGCAATACCCCATTCTGATATTCATAGTTAAAGAATTGTGAAGGAATGCCATTTCTTTCTATTTTTCTTATTTTTATGAGTGTTTCAGAGGAAATTTATAAACTGGGTGACAGAATCTCATTTGAAATTCAAATATCATTTGCAAGGAGTGTGAAAATTATCTCCATTGTCTCTGTTCTAAAGTATGGAATAATTAGGCAAAGTGCATTTTAAAGTTGAAGTTCCGGGAAAAAAGCTTTCTAACACCAACATCAAAATAGTACATCGTAGAAAAACGTATTGATAGCAGAGCTCACATTGCTAAAATAGCTACACAAACTTGGCCGTATGTAACTTCGAAAAGTTTATATAAGCTTGCAATCTTCTAATATCAAAGCGAGAAGTACTTGGGAAAGGGGTTGGGGTCGTGGTGGCAGCACCCCACATCCTAGTCACCACATTGTGGTTTTCATTTTCACCACTAACACTTCCTATTAATACTTTAAAAAAAGGCCAACTCGTCTTTCCCACTCAATTACCCAAAAAAAAAAAAAGAATAAGAAGAAATGAGAAGTACCTCAAGAATATTGTAGAAAAGAGCATTTCTATGTTGGAAAACCCTCCAATTGATCATCTCGATTTCGAGATGTGTTGATATGAAGAAAAAATAAATAAAAGTTTTAAGAAAATAGAGCATCTTGTAATAAATTATCTAAATTGTCTATTTTCAAGATTCTCAAATATTAAAAGATATGTTCGATTTACACCATTTTATTTTTTAAAAAATTTATAATTAGAGATGAAAATAAATTTTTAGACCATCAGAAAATTTCTAACACAAGGTTTCCATCACGGATACTACACTCCTAAAAAATTATTAAAGGCGCACCTTTTATATAGAAGTTACCTTATACAAACCTCACCCCTTGAAACTTTGATGTGAATAACACAACACAAATAGGTGTAGCTTCAATGGCGAAAAACAATATCTCCAATTAGTTCAATTAATCCTTGATTGATTCATAATTAGGCCCTAAACCAGTTTTTTGTGTGTATCAAATCATAAAACATGTGATTTTAAACACACACACTGTCTCTCCTTCTCTACGCATAGGTCCAGGTTTAAACTTTAAAGGGTAAATTTTGATACATTTCAACTTAACGGTACTTTAGGTATTTCCTAGTAAACATGAGGTAATAGGAGCGCATATCCTCCATCCAAAGGCCCAAAAGGGTGGTTTATTTATATTATTGTTTCCCAAAATGCCCCTGAATTCCACAATCCCCCTGAACATTATTTGATTAGCTCATCAGAGTTCTTTTTCGCGGGTACGAAAACGAGTTCGAGGGCTCCTCAGTGTTTCGTGGTCTCTTTGCTAGGAGCCATGGCTACCAACTCTGCAAAAACCAGAAGTAAATACAGCTCAGCAGAGGTGAAGGAATTAGGGCATCAACTTATCACTTCTAAAGCTCACCTCAACAACGCCCCTATACTTCTCTCTCTCCTCTCTAATCCTTCCTCGCCATTAGGGCACGCTTTAGAGGCCCTCATCTCCTTGCAATCGTTCTTCACTCCTCTTATCTCTCGAATTTCTCTCTCATCAGCTAGGATTTCAGCTGATGTTCCTCTTCCGGGAACTGCTGGTAAAGAAGAGCAGTTTGCGGAGGCTGTGTACAAGAAATGGCTCAAATCCACGTTCAACGACTTTGTCTCGGTGCTTATTGATCTCTCCATCTCTCCCCATACGGAGCAATCCCTAAGGGTATGCATTTTCTCTCTCTGTCTTGTTATTCTCTCTTCTGTTTTTTTCTCTCTACCTAGTATTTACTATTTCTCTCTTGGGGTAAATTTTGTTTGTTGCTGTTTATCTATCTCTACCCTTTTCTCTTTTTTGTTTTTTTTCTTTTGTTTCTTGAGTTGGCAAATTTCTTTGTTGTGTTTTGTTTAGTGTTAATTTCTGACTGGGCTATTGTTACAGGTTGTTTCTGTTGATGCTATTATGGAGTTAGCAAGGCAGGGTAAAGGGGGTGCATTTCGGTCAGATATTTACTTTAGGTTTCTTCGTGCTATTGTAAGTTCTGTTCCAGAGAATTTCGAGACTTCAAAGTTTTTAATTTATTTTATTTTTCTGAATTTTATGGTTGACATCTAGTTTCTTAGATTGTTCTGGTATTCAGTTCGTAAAGTTCCCCTTGTGATTTTTTTTTTTTTTAAATAATTTTTTTTGATGTCTGTTATTGGATTAGTTATAACATACAAGGGATAACTGAAATTGAAATAATTCCAAAAAGTTGATTTTTTTTTTTGAAGAATGTAAACAAATCGATGATCTTCATTTTTTTTTAACGAAAAATTGAAGTTCTTCATCTGAAACTTTTGAACCCTGTTCCTTATGTGTTCATTTTTTGTGTACTGTGTGCACTTGCACAGAAGTAGATGATTTCTTTATATTGTTTTCTTTTATTATCCCGAGGCCAATAATTTCAATTATTTTTGCTTCTCTTTGTTTCTGGTGACATATGAATTCAATCCCCAAAGTTATTTTTATTATTTTTATGATTTTTTAAAATTTCTATTAGAAATTCAATTGTGATTTATATTTTTATGTATATTATATCATTTTGACCTGATGGACTTGGTAATTTTACTGTGCATGAGACCTTTGTGTGTTGTGAAAACGATTATTGTTTTGGTTCTTTGTAAAATGCAGGTTCAATCAACGTCATCCATTGATTTTGTTGTCCAGTTGCTTGTAACGAAGTTTTTCAAGTCCATGGATGTCTGGTATGGTCTATCTATTATGACTAGGAGAAATATATGTTCTTTTTCCTTTTATTTTTTCCATCTCTATAACATATGTATGGTAACATCTAAAATGAAACATAGGGAACCAATACTATATTCATGCATAATGACTTTTTTTTGGGGTAAGTTACGTAATGATGTTTACCACTGGAGTATGTATCATGGAAGGTGGTGAGGATGACTTAGGGTTTTGCTTCAATTTGGCATTTATTTTTTAACAATTAAAAAATATACACCAATGGCGATAAAAAGCCAAAGAATTTGAATTAGTTATTATTTAAGAAGAGAGGAATAACTACTGTAATCAGATGCAGATCCTAGTGCATTATTTGTGTTTTAGTTCAATAATAATGTACAAAACATATATATCGTAGAGTCCTTTATTGAAACAAAAAAGGAGATAAAGGTTTGTCGACTGTGCCTTGCTTGTTTACCTGTTCTTGTCACGGAATTTTTTGGTTAAGGGTTGTCTCTCTCATTAATTTCGAGTCTTTAACTGGATCATTGAATGACAATATTGAGTGCCTTGCATTGGATGGAACTTGCATGCCATTTATGAAGATATTGAACTCTTGTCTTATGGATAATTCTGCTTCACTGTAGAATATATCCTCTTGTAAAATTTAACCTTGATGACAACTATACTAGAATTAGATTTTGTTGGAATTCATTAATCTATGTTGGGCATTTCTCAGAGACATCATTTAATATCAGCTTGATGGTGTCTTGGAAGTTTCAAATGCATTAGATTCAGTGGCTACTGGTAAATGTTGGTTCTTACAGGGCAAGGCTCATTAATTTTCTTTATTTCTCATCAGATTGTTCTAATTATTTTGGTTTTTGATATTGGTTAGATGTCTTTTTTATAATTTTGTTGCATTACTGTGAAAGTTCTGATATGTAACGTCTTTTAGAAGTGGGTATTACTGAATGCAAAAGCCTTTTTATTCTTCCAACTATTCGAATGAGAAATTTGTCTTGTAGCAATTCCTTGTTAGCAGATACATTTGGTGACGGCTATTGGCATTACTTACAAAATTGATTTGTGCAGTTATTTCTCATTCATTGGGCTTGATAAACTTGCTAGGAATTATGAGCCTGCGAAGAGCGATGGTAATTCCTTTATGTTTGTGTTTTTACAAGTTCTCTTTCGAGGATACAGATGATTGAGTGTAAGACATGCTAATATGATTGTCATATGCTTAATTTGCAGCAGACAAGATGGGCATGATTTGGCAGGATGACCCTCAGAACATAAATGGCTCTGGGTGAGTCTGAGATATTTTATGCCTTCAACGTCATGTTTGGCATATTTACTTTGTCTGTAGTGCTTTGCATGATCCCAATAATCCAAGTCATCATTATTTTAGCTTTCAAATATGGAATGTCATAGGTTTATGTTCCCAAACAAAAAAAAGAAGAGATTATCAAAAAAAAAAAAAAAACATAAAAAAGAAGAAGAGTGTTATATATTTACATTTTGTATTTGATTTATTTTAATATAACTACTGCTTCTTATTTGTATTTCTAAAGTTCTAGATGCAGGAGGCTGGTTCCATGGAGCCCCTTGCTACCAATTGTATCTGAAAATTTTAAAATTTTTTGTGCCCAACTGATGTGCTTTCAGCATCAACATTTCAAGTTATAATAAACTCTTGTAGCTTTTCCTGTATCCATAAATATATATTGTATTTCCTTAGAGATCACATATCTCAATCCGTTTTTTTAATAACTTTCTGACCTTATTGTTGGATTCTTTCTGAAGATCTGAGGGGGTATTCATTTTCAACATACATAATATTCTTTCACGTATTCCTTCTCTGGAAGATCAGGTTGAAAATGAAATGTGGAGCCAGTCAGGTGAGCAATTTCTGTGCAAATATCACTTTGTGCAGTCTAGGTGATTGGAATCTTACTACTGGTTTAATTTCTAGAAAAAATGAACCACTGGTTAAATGTATGATACACACTGCTATCTGTTTCCTCATGCTCATTGGTCCATTTTGGTTTTATTGCTTGCGGCTTATTATGTCACTGGTTTAGTTTTAGTTTTCTTTTTCTTTTTTTTTTCTGCAGAGCCTAATCATTCTTTGAGGTCATTAATACCAGAAGACACATCTAAAAAATCAGGGATATCAGTTGATGAGGTGAGTCCCCAAGTGACCCTGCATAAATGCATCACTTTTATTGTTCATATACTAATAAGACACTTTATAATGTCTAAACATGCTTCCTCGGGTTATTTTTATCTTGGTTTTCTCAAACACTCAGTTGGTTGGAATATGTACTGGATGTGCACACTTATTTTCTTTTCTGTAATTGGTAGTGTCATTGAATAAAGAAATTGTGGACTGCGAATGTATGGCAGTCTGGAGTGAAGACAGCAAAGTGGTGTCCATTCATTATGAATCATCATTGGCAGGGAAATTTGTGGTGTTCAAGGAATATGCATGAAAAGATTGAGTTCTTAAGTTCTGCACTAATTTCACTGAGTGTTCAGGGGATAGGATAAGGGTCCCTGAGTCACTTGACCACCATTTGGATTCTTCTATAGTTATGGTGTAAAGCAACTATTTTGTGCCTCTAAATTTGTTGTCTATCTCCTTGTTTAATACCCCTTTGGATGCCATCTTTTTTCAAGGAGCCACGTGCAAATAGAGCCTGATTTGTGAGTGGCTCCATTTTAAGAAAAATCTAAAATTAGGCCACCCTTTTGAGGGGTAGCAACTAGCAATTTAGCACGTCTGCACGTTTAACTGCTTGGGCATCTAATTTTGCCATCTATATCTCTGGAACCTCCCCTAAAACAGATAGGATGTAGGTCACCCTTTGTGCACGATCAAACTTGAGCTTGAGTCCGCCTACAAAAAGTTCCCTGTGGATAGGCTTGGTTCTCACGTTGGCTTGAATTTAATGGAAACTACTTAGCAACTATTGGGATTTTCATGGTCCTTATCTATGGTGACCTGTGATTAAAAAATCACAGATGTGGCTCAGGAATCGCTCAAGTCAGACTGGGAAATAACCAGAGTCTCTCCTTGCTAAGTCTAAAGTACCGCCGCCTAACTAATCTTGCCCAAGTCAGGAAAGGTGACTCAGGATCTGGACCATAGTGAGTCCCTACCCATGGCCGATTTTTTAATCATTGAAGGTGACCAGTCAGCATTTTTTCGTAGTACATATTCACTTTAATTTTGCATCTTTGGACATGGGTGCCTTGTATTCTCACTTGCACGATTCTTGTTTTCATGGCACACTATGATGCAGTAGCCACTTGTTCACACCCACTATTCTTCTACGAAGTTCTATGTGACTCCAATTATCTGAGATAAATACACATATTAGTGCATGCACACAATTGTACATGTTTGTGTGCACACTTAACCTTTTTCTTTGTAGGTGATTTACTTTTATTGCACTTTTGTGCATAGATTTTATGAGTTTTTTATAATTACATTGCTTTTCTTTTGTTGTTTTTATGCGCACACATATTCATATGTAGACATGTGTATATTGTGTGTCATGTTTGCACAGGTGTGTTTGCACCCTACATCTTGTATGCTTGTATTTATGTTTGAACTGCTGTAATTACTTGATCTTAGCGGCCTTGCCATAATTTCCAATGTTCCATCATTGAACGGCGGTTCCTCAGCGAGAGGCAGCGTTATGTAAGGAGGTTCTTCTATTGGTTATGCAAGATACACTATGTTAATGGCTTTTCTCCTTTGTGATTGCATATTATCTAATAGATATTTATTGCATGATGTAAATAGTATTATTCTTTCTCTTCTCAGGGTTTCTCAACGTGCTCTATTGCCAAGAGAATAAAGTCAAAAATGAGCAAGGCATGGTTATCATTTCTGAGGCTTCGACTTCCTCTTGATTTGTACAAGAAGGTAACCTCGGTTGTATGCTAATATTGTATTAAGCTGTCGTTAGCTTGTCAATCATAGTTTGTACGCTTTCCTCTTACACTTGGTTATTAATCTTATTCTCGGAGCCCAATATTCTTTATTGTCAATATGCTCATATCTTTTGTCTCCTATTTTTTTGACTGAGACTTGTTTACATGCCTTGGGCTGTTTATATTCCATTGTTGAAGACATTTCTGTTTTGGGTGATTGATTTTTGTTACTATCCAAGGGAACATGATTGATAATTAATTACCATGGCGATGGTATGATGAATGGAGAGTGGACCAGATTTTCAAGCCCGCTCTGGAGATTTTATTAGTAGTCAAGCCTTTCATTAGTTCGTTTCTACATGCTAGAACACTATAGAGCTTATGAATCTAATGACAACAAATTCTAAAATCAAGCACTTCTAATATCTGAAGCAGTGTTTAAAACCTGGAGCGGTGTGGTGGATTGTCAACCCACCAATCCATGTTTGAGATGGCCAGTTAGGTGATCCGGATCGTTTGGATTGGCAATCGAGCAAGAGTTTGAAAAAAAAAGAAGGAAAAAGTAATGAACCTAGAAAAAAATAAAAAAGTCATAAGAGATGTAAGATATGACGTGCATATTTCTTACAAGGTCCAATTGGCTTCCTGGTTAGATGGTGTGGCTCTTCTTGTGAGGTTCGTGGATCGAATCAGCCCATGTGCATTTTTTTATTTTGAGCTCCTTAAGAAAACAACCAGTGCTATTTATTATGATCATTGAAAAACGAGAGTGCGTTTGAGTGGGCTCGAACCTTGGTCATGAAGTGCAGCAACCATAAATACTAGCCAACAAAGCTACTCCGGCTATTCGAATTAATATAGGTCTATTATACTTTATATACTAGGCTCATTCTCCAGTGATTCCTGATCCGGATTGCCGATTTTTAAAACACTGGTCTGAAGTGTTGGTATTTGATGTCTAGTGCTTCAAAAGGTAGTCGTCTTGACTTGTGTGTCATTTCACGAATTACCAAAGAAGTTGCCATTGAAATTAAGCTTTAATGAACCCCTCTCTACCCCTGCGGTATGCCTATTTTGGTGATATCGGTGAATCTGTTTGGCCTTACTATAGGGCATTTAACTCCCTGCTGTAGTTTTCTACACTACACTAGATCCTCAGGTGCTCATGAGTTTATGACCTTAGAATGCGGCGTTATTTGTTTCTGTGATGAAGTTATAGTATCTGCTTTTCCAAGCAATTGAAACATGTAACTTCTATTTGGCTGTTTAGGAAAGTTTGGTTTGAAGGAACACGTTCATTGGAACTTTCTCACCTCACTTTTATGTGCATCCCTCATTTTACAATGGCGGCCCCAATTGTAATCACAATTGCGCTGTTGGATTAATTTATGTTTTGCAAAGATACTTCAAAATAGATTCCTTAGCCATATGTCAGATACTTCAGAACCATATGTAAATAACAGTATGTTGATATTTTACTTGTGTTCCACAGCCGTATCTGTGCATCCTATGAAGCATTGCCACTGTGTTATATCTCCCCTAACAAGTCCTAAGAATTTATTGTTTGTGACATTTTGGCCTGCATAATCAGGGATACAAACCAAGTCCTACTTTTCAAACTCTCTCTTTAAAAGAGTCTGCTTGATATGTGTGTGAGTAATGACAGCACTATTTACCTGCGTTTATACAACTTGGTTGGGTAATCTGATTTTCATTTTCAAATCTTTCAAATGTTTTTGTGGGTCATAGGTTTCCATCATGCATGTTCTTGTTGCGTACTTGTTGCTAAAATGCGCACGAGATGTTGCTTCTTCTTTGCTTGTTTGTGATGGTTGCCCGGTCTTATGGGCACACATACCCCATTTATTCTTCAGATTTCATGGGTTAGAATCTCAATTATTTCTCCTACCTTGTATATATGCTACTTATCACAAGGGAATTTACTTTTATTGTCTATTTGTGGGGCATTATATGTATTCACAGTTGGTATACTGGGTGGCCGATGGGTAGCATCTATTTAATTCTTTGAACTGCAGTTTAGTTTCATGTCATTGAAAGTTTCACTTCCATATAAAAAAGGGGTTTCTTGTAAGTTATATGGATTACAAAAGTACAAACAAACATTTTCATAGGTGCTTATCTGTGCTTCATCTTGGCATGCAGGTTCTGTCTACACTACATCAGGATGTCATCCCTCATCTTGCAAATCCTATCTTACTGTGGTAAATATGCTATTTATATTTACTTTATGATCTATAGTTTATTGGATTTGCCTTTAGAATGGTTCTGACACCATACTCTTAACAAATGGCAGTGATTTTCTGACAAGATCATATGAAGTTGGGGGTGTTATCAGTGTCATGGCTTTAAATGGCCTCTTCATTTTGATGACACAGCATGGATTAGAATACCCTGACTTCTACAAAAAGCTTTATGCATTGTTGGCCCCATCCATTTTCAGGGCAAAACATCGGTCACATTTTTTTCAGGTATTTCTGTATGATGTGAGACACAAGTCAATCTTGTTTTATCCATATTGTCTAATGTATATATTTTGGAAAAGTATACAATAAGACTATTTACTTTTGGTACAAGGTGGTCGACTATTTACTTTTGGTACAAGGTTGTCACAGTTAATCTTGACCATTGGATGTGAATTTGGGTGGCTGCATTTATTCCATTGACCAAGTTCAAAATTCAAAAGAAATTTTATCGAACTTTGTGACACATCTAAGCCATCAGATTTCACATCGGAGGGTTATAAGTAATTGTGGCCTCCTTGTACCAAAGATAAATGGTACCAAAGATAAATGGTCTCATTGTGTACAAACCCATATATTTTTATGGTGAGATATTGTAATTTCTTTTACAAAAACAAAAGAAAAGAAGATATTGTGATTTCTTTATGTTTAAAAGGTATCCTTTTGGAGATGAATAATAGGTGGAGAAAGAAGTTGTTTAACCTAAGAGATCAACCACTTACTAATCTTTGATCACAAGATCCTAAAATCCGTTTGTATAACACTTTATATTTAAACAAGGTTAAATATCTACAACTTCAGCACGTAAGCATCTACAAAATTAAATAAAGAAACTTATGTAAATTAACATGCTATTTAGGCATTTGGTTTAATGTTCTGGAGATGAGATTTCAAATCCTTATTGAATTGGAGGCTGTCCTTAACAAAATTAGCCGAGTCAAATTCTTTCTGATCAAATCTAAATCTAACTTAATAGCCTGGGGAAAAGATGGTGTAGAATAATTTTAAATTAATTCAAAAGTGTCTCCACTAATGTTAGAAAAAAATGGATTGGTGACCCGGATTGGCCACCCTGATAACAGGTCGATTTGTGAATTGGCAATCCGAATAGGAGAATTGGCTGGATTGGCTGGTTTTGGTCTAAAAAAAAAATAAAAAAATCACTAGAAATGCCTAAAAATAGTTGTTTTGAGTTTCCCCAAAAAATTGGGTGTGGTGCATTATGTACTTTCAATATTTTTCAAAAACACATGAATTTTGTGACTTCGTTTCCTTGTCCGGATATCTGTTGACCATTGCACTATGTAATGGTTTAGACTATCAAAAATTAAATTGTTGTTCTAGATGATCATCATATTAGTCACGAAATTATGTAAATTATGTAATTTCCTTTACATTCGTAAATTCACATTATTCCTTAATATTGAATATTTCAAATCTCGTTTCCATATATACTATAAACTATACTCTAAAATTAGAATTATTAGTTTACTGTTACTTTCCTAAACAAATATGAATAAATTTAAATTTTATTTTATAATAACTTTTAATATAAAAAATTCTTATTTACATCTAACTCAAATTTTTATAGCGAAAAAAAGGAAGTGTGCATGCTCTTGGACCTTTTGATTTAATGGAGAGAAAAAAAAGCTACGACAAAAAGTATTTGTCAAATAAAGTGATTTAAGGTATAATAATTAGTATGGCACAAATATAGAATTTGGAAAATGAAATTGTGATCACATTTTAATTTTTGCAATAGCATTTTAATGAAATTAAAAAAAATAGATCAATAAATTTATGCTTGCAATGAGGAATAATGGATAGAGCTACTTGAAAATATATATTTTGAAGTGGCCATTTTGGATATTTTGAAATGGTCATGTATTTTCATGCTGGTTGAACTTTAGCATGAACATTTTAATGAAATGAAAAAATTCTAAAAAGATAAATAGATTAGAAAATAAATTAATTTTACCGTGAAAATTAGCTTATTTTCATAGTAGTTGGAACTTAAGCATGGACGTTTATTTATCTATCTAGCGTGAACTTCGTGATCTAGTGTTGGAGATTGATGTTACTAATGTAATATTTGGCAATATTAGGCTACCTTATATGTTCATGAATTAACTTGCATAGTGACCTAACAACAAAGTCCCACATTGGGGAAATCGAGAGAGACCATGGGAGGAAGCATCTATAAAAATGCCACAAGGAGGATAAGGTGACCACCACTCTCCAATAAAAAAAAATTGATGGTAGGAACATGTGTGGCTTTTTGAAGATTGGTGAGTTCCCATCCTAAGATTGGAACACATGTTCCTAGAAGAAGAGGCCACCCCTCTCCAATAAAAAAAATGAGTACAAAGCTCAAGTAGCTTGATCAAGACAAGGGATGGTGGGCCCCACCGTAACCTCTCTTCTCAATAAAAAAACTTTCAATGTTGTTTGGGGTTCATTTTGATCCACTTGAGGGAATCACTGACTCCATTGTAGCGAATCAATGATGTGCCACAACAAATTGCCGTTTCCTGGGGGAAATGGCCGGTTCCCAATATATTATGGGAACCTGTTCGCCCTCGACGATTCTCAATCCGGATAGGCGATTGTTTAAACACTGGTCTGCACAACTAGTTGTAGGGTTTTGAAATTAATGGTGTGTAGAAAGTAGCGTGTTAAATTTAGAGAGAATTAAGGCTAAAGGTTTCAGCAGTTTTGTTTTGGTTAATTTTAAGGACCTATAGGTTGTTTTTTTAGTTTTGATGGATTCCTTGAATGGGATGTGTTCACGGTTTAGAGGTATCACAAGGCAAAAAAATATAAAGAAAGAAGAAAATAAGGGAAAATAGAGAAGAAGAAAATGACGAGGGAGAAATGAGAAAGAATAAAACAAAGGACAAAGGAAGATGACATACAAAAGAATTTAGGAAAAGAGAAGGTAAGCAGGAATAAGAAGGGATGAGGTAAGAGTTTAATGAAAGAAATGAGAAGAGAGGAAGAAATTGATGAGGGCCTTAGAAGGAGGGACCTTAGGAGGTGCTAACAAGCCTTTTCTACAGGCTTCAATCAAATAATTCAGGAAGTCCATTTTTTTTTTTTTAAAGTTTTGAAAGTTAAACATGATAGGAGCTGGATGTCCCTCTTTCCCCCTTTATGCAACTTATCTTAAAACAAAATGACTTAAATCGCCACTAATTGAAATAAAATAATTGAAGGACTAGAGGACCCCTGAATTCTCTACAACTCCAAATGACATAAATCCCTTAGTTTCAAACCCCCATGCAGTTACAAAATATGTTTTCTCTCTAAAGTGTAAATGAAAGAAATTGAATTCGTCCATGGGAAGGCTATGATATCCTCATTAGAAATGTAGATTTTGAATTAACTTGCTCCGTCATACAGTTTTAGAGCAGGCGTTCACTTTAATTTGCTTTTGTTTGTTTTTCCTTTCAATGTTTTCCAATTGGAAAGGAATGGGGTTGAGATCAAAGTGGTAATACTCCCTGTGACTCAGCTATGGGTCTAGGTTTCGCTTCTTACTAATGCTAACCCCTTTTGAAAACTACTTACAGTTTCAAAAATTGCTAACCCATTACTAATAATTAACTTTCGCAAAAAAAAAAAAGGGTTTCTAATTGGAATTCCTTTTGGAAGAACTCGTTTAAGAAGAATAAGGTGAAATCGATTTGAAGCTTTATTTCTTTTGCTTTAACTTCAACTTATGTTTGTGTCTTTATTTATAATAAATGGTCTTTGGACAGTTAAAGATGGCAAAATATTACATAGCTTTGCTTACAAATTGTATGCATGTTCCCTGGGCAGAATGACCATGTTATTATTCATCTCATGGGATTAATTTTTTTAAACATAATTTGGAGCACAAAAAAATGTTGCGAACCAATCCCCCCACTAATGATTGTTTGTGTACAATCCATTTGATGGATGATCAGATCCAGGGTTTTAAGAACTTGCCTTTTATTTTTGTGGTGGAATTTTCTACACGATGAATCAATGATCTGAAAATTTTCAGGTAAAAAATCCCCAAAATATTTTCTTTTTGTGTGGGAAATACATGTACCTTCATGGGACTATGTTAGTAGAGCCCTTTAAATGTTGTCAAAGGTCCATATTGCTTCTTTAGTTTTAGATTCTCATTAACTGTTACATCTTCAGCTTCTTATCTACTTGCAATTAAATTAATAATTCACATTTAATGTTCTACAGCTTCTAGATTCTTGTTTGAAGTCCCCCCTTCTACCAGCGTACTTGACTGCTGCATTTGCCAAGAAATTGAGTAGACTAGCACTTTCTGCACCACCTTCAGGCGCATTGGTCATCATAGCACTCATTCACAATCTTTTGCGAAGACATCCTTCAATTAATTGTTTAGTTCACCGGGTATGTTTGTGCAAAAGGTCCTCAATATTGATGTTCAAGTTCTTTTGACAAGTACTTTTTAATCATATGAACATTTGTAAAAGTTCATTTTTTGGTTCCATAGTCTCTCTTGTATGTTTTGATTTCTTCCTTACTGTTTTTGCATGCATGTTTCTCAATCTCTCTGTGTGTGTACGGGCCATCTTACTTTGTATTCATACAGGGATATGTTATACCATTCACATTATGGCAAAGTCTCATTCTTAGGGTTTTTGGCTTAGAAATGCTCCCTCCCAAGGCCTGAAATCATTTTTAAATGGGGGCATTTTCATTGCCAAAGTAATTATAGAAGAACCATATGCAACATACTGATAGATATTTTCTCCACATTTAGTATCGTTACTGATTTTCTGTTCTGATGGGTCTGGTTGGTTCTGATGTTAACTGAATATTCACCTTATTTTGTGATATTTCTATCTTTGCTAAGATATTTCTATCTTTGCCCTTAGCAAAGATGGAAAATATCCCTGCCTAAAAAATAATTTGTAGAATAAGATTAGGGGTGTTCTTGTCCAAATTTCTTAAGCATAATAAGTTGATAATAGACTCATCACACAATGAGTAGCCAAACAATTTCTCTAGGTGGTGAGTGACGCAAAGCCGACCTACTTAAGCGGCCTACAAAATGGAAAGTTCAGGATTCTTTGAATCAGGATATCTTGAAGAATCTGCCATGTTGTTTCAAGTAACAGTTTTTCTTTTGGGAATGGCTATTTTCCAACCGTATTTCTGCTCTTGCCATCCAAAACAAGAGTGGATTACTGGGTACCTTCAGTGGCTAGTATTACCCGTCATGTTTACAGTCGCTATAGAAAAAGTATGGGCTACAATGGTAAAATTATTTGACAATGTTTGCGAGTTTTAAGTATTCTTGTTTGACAATGTTTGGCTGTCATTTTGGATTTTGGAGAAGCTCATGCAGCACAAATACAAAGGTTCTAACTGATAATTACTTAGTTGTATCTCAGTCTGCTTCACAGCTTGCAATTCATGGTTTGAAGTGTAAAATCATAAGTAATATCGCAGTAATTTGCAACATTCTGCAAATATATCGTGGACTCAAGAGTCGGCAATTATATTCTATGAATTATGCTGAATGAAACTTTCCACAAGATACTCTTATAATCGTATGTGTTCCCTGGCTTAATATTTTGCATAAATCTAAGTGGGGATGCAGTAAGTTATGCTTCCTATCCAGCATTGTGTATTTTGCTATTGAAATTTGTCGCTATACACCTAACTTATCAATTAATTAGTATTTTACCCTTTTCAACTTTTCCAACTCATAATCATGTGTACTTTGATGGGATTTTTGAATTTTTTTTTTTTGAAGCTGTTAACTGTAGGGGGATTTTTGAAATTAAATTAAGTAATGAATACAATGCAAATAATTCATCTTATAGGTACATTTTGATTAAGTTCCGTTTTGCCTATTTTCACAACCATCAACTGCCTATGATCTTGTACATTTTATTGCATCATTTGAGGCATTTTGAGTTGTCCTCGCTGCTTAAATTTAGTATACTTTCATTTTTATCTGTTTGGTCTCTGGCGGGGACATGATGCTTGTCCGCTGTTGTTGAAACTACGGAAATCTAAATGTGCATGTATGTGAACACGCACACACGAGTTAAATTGCTGTTTTCTTGTGAGTTTTTCCATTCTTGAGTTGAGATTTTACTTGCAGACTGTTTATGATGAACTGGATACTTCACAAAGAGATATCGACAATGAAGCAAGGGGTTCCAAAACGGGAGTAGATTCATACATTGGGGAGTCAGGAGTAGATCATTTCAGGATTGAAGAAACTGATCCAGTGAAGGCAAATGCAATGAGTATAATTCATTCACTTGATACAATTGTCCTTCATATGGATTGCTTCTTATGTATAAGAAATTTGGATTGTGGATTGGCAACGATAGGTGCATTTTCTACATGGCAGCAAGCTCTAATTTTATCAGGATTCCAATATTTAAACAGTACCAGTTCATCGCTATGATTCATGGCTCATGCATGTGGAAAGTAGTGTAACTTGTTTTGTTCTTAAGCACTTTTATTCTATCCGACATTTACTGCAAAATATTCTGCTTGAATAAACAAACAACAAAGCAGACATACTACAAGTACGATATATACTAGAAGAGGCTTTTTCAGGTGTGCACTTCTATAATACAGTCAATCTTACGGTTGAGATGCCCACATACTTTGTGATGTAATATTTCAATAGTTGTATGCAAGCATAAACTTAAACCTTTTGTTCTTAAAAAATGTTAGCTTCTTAGTAGTGTTTTTTTTCCTTTATCAAATATATGAGTTGGAAGTGAAGTTCTCGGATTCTGGTCTATTAAGGTATCCAGTGAATTTAGTTCTGGTAGTCATATATCACTTGATTAAAAGTACAATATTTGGCCTGGATCTCTCATTGAATCAATAGGTGACTTTTTGTTCATAGTACTAAAATGTTTGTTTTTGGGCTCTATATAATGTGAATACGAGCTTATACAGAAATGCAAATAATTGCATTTTTTGTTATAAAAAAAATGCAAAAAATTGCATTATATTATACATACTCATGTCTACTTGCCCAAGTACTATTTGGGACGGTCTTTATTGCAGGAAGTTCTCTATGGGAGGTTGAGACCTTACGTCGTCATTACTGTCCTGCTGTTTCTAGGTAGCTGTTTTGTCATTTGGTTAGGACTTAGCATTGAGTCTCCTTTTATTTTCATTTAATTGACTTTTACTAAGTTGTTTTTTGACGTTTCTTTTGTGATGTGTTGCAATACTAGGTTTGTCTTGTCGCTTGAGAATGATTTGACAGTTCGAGCAAAAACCTCTGAGGTTGCGATCAATGATTTCAGTTCGGGGTCGTATGGCACTATATTTAACGATGCGGTAGCTTTTCACATTGCATTATGTCTCCATTTGCCTCTTAAGTCTCATGTCTATGAAAGATGAATTTTGAGGAATATATCTGAGTTAGAATTAAATCATGTATGCAATGATGTCACATTGCATTATATTTCCATATTTTCCAAATATAGTAGTGCCCTTGGATGAATTTGAGAGCTTGAGTTATATGTGCAGGTGGGAAGAAGGATCAAACAGGTTCCACTTGCATTCTACAAGATGAGGCCAACTTCTCTGTTCCCTGAAGCTGACTTTCCCGGTTGGAAATTTGAGCATGGGCAAGATGAACTTGAAATTAGGCCAAATAATGGAAATGACCTTTTTGAGGGAGATGGGGAGAAGTCCTCTAAGAAACAAAGGCTTGGATGAGAAAAATGGTTTAACTTACATGGAATATGATGGATTTTTGTGCCATCCTAATTTGCCTGCTAATTTGATGCAAGGGTGTTTTGGTCAAGGCAATGCCAGGCTTGTTAGTAATTTTTGCAATCCACTATGCAGGCCCTAGCTGTATTTTTTGCATTAAGATTCTCTGGAATCTTAAAGAAAATTTGGGAATTTTCATTATTTATTGTTTCAAGTAGAAATGTAATAATATTTGCTCTTGTATACGAATGTTCCTTAGACATAATTGTTTTTTCCTTTTTTTTTTCCGGTATCAGCATGCCAAGTTTATAGGCATTTCTCTTCGCCAATTGGAGTCGAGAGAATTTCAGAGGATGAATTTTGTATTGGATAATGCACAAAGTCTAAGATTATTTGTCATCAATGGAACATGAATGTTTTTCACAGGAAACATGTATTTGTTTTGACGTGAGAGAGACTCCATGTTTAAAATTGGTGAGAGTAACTTACTAGTGCTCTTACAAGATATACCCTTGTATATAATTATTTAAATTAGTCTTTGATGTGATTCTAAATAGTTGGGATAACGCTCTGAGGATGATGATGATGATGATAATGATACTGGGCATGGTCATGTGGATTATTGCGGTCCCATTACTCAAGAGCGCGTATAACATATTCTTCTTGAGAGTTAATTATATAAGTTCTCTCTTGGGTAAAAATCTACTGAAAAGGATTTTCTCAATTTGAAATTTAGAATTCATAGAATTCACCTGGAGTGTTGAGGTGAACGTTTTCAAAGAAATTTGTTAAATATAGTGTTCTGTAACACATATATCTCATGATTTAGATTTGAATAGTTTTTAAGTTTGAATATATCTCATGATTTAAATTTAAATTTTGATTATTTTTAGCTTTTTTGGCAAAAGAAAGTAACTTTTAGCAAATTATTATGAATGAGCCTTTTGAAAAAGATAAACATTTCACATAAAATTGCTTCCAAGTTTATCTAAGATTAGTTTATGAGACACTACCAAACAATATATAATTTGTTATCATAATTAATTTTCTTGGAATAGCAAATTATCAGTAATAATAAATAATTTTAAACAAGCCAGAGCAGGGGTATACTAGTAATTAACTATAAGGTCGTGGGCTCGAACCTTCCCATAACAAGTTAGGGGATAATAATATACTAACAAATTAAAACATTGGCAATAAATCTATTTTATTTTAAAAATGGGAAAAGAATAAAAGTAAGGCCAAATTATAAATCACCAAAAAATAAAGTAAGTTATAAAATCGTGAATATTTTGGATTTGGCTAAAAAAAATAGAGTGAAAAAATCAAATTATGTAAAATAGCACAACAAAGGATTATAACTCGCACTTATTATATAGATGAGTGATGATCTTATAAGACCCTCCCTTAATTATATGGAGGACTCCAAGAGATCATCATTACAGTTAATGCGAATCTCTAAAAAAGTTATAAGTACGGATATAAGACTTGATTTTTTTAAAGATCTTGTTGAATCTTTTATATATATATATATTAAAGTTATTGGAAAATCATTTTTTGGCCTAGTATTATTATTAGAGTAATACTTTGATAAATTTTTATCTAAACTTTCAATAAATCCAACAATTATTCTATGGTCACGTTACAAAATATCTCATAGATTTAGCTAGTGCTAATTATTACTTTTGCGGTGGTCACTTAAAAAAAAAAAACAAAAAGACGTGGATGCTTTTGTCACTCCACGTCACTTTGACTTCTGCGGAAGCGAAATCCGGGACTCCCGAACTCTATGAGAAGCTGAGGGCAATTGTCGTCCTTCTCTAGGTCGCTTTACGAAATCGAATGGCCCCTTCGGTCTATTGGACAATTGTTTCTCTCTCTACCTCCCAAGCATAGTGCGTCAACCGGCCCACGGCAGATTTTAGAGGGAGAAAGAGAGGGGAGCTGAAAAGCTCTGAGAAAGTGCGGCAATGGCGGCCTTCCTGAATCAAAGATGCATGCTGATGATGACTTTGTTTTCGCTTTTTATTGTTGCGTCTCTCTCCCTAGATGATAAATGTGCAGCCTGCAATGTCGTTGCGGTAATCCGCATTCTCTCTAAAGAGATGATGGAATCGTTATATTCATTGAAATTGAATGCCATCCCAAATTTGAAGCTCCTATGGGAATCACTGATCACTCTCTAAACACATGAATAAATATATCGCATACATTGTCTTGGATTATATTTGAAATTGTGTATCTGAGTTTCTCTCTCTTTGGATTGGGCTTGCGCTTGATTGAATAGTATTCCATTTTTTTTTTCCATTTGATTTGAACCAATTTTACCTGAAGAAATCCATAATTTTTGCCTTTTTATCATTAAATCTCTGCGTCTTTCCCATAAATTTCACATTATACAAGGAGGAAATACATGATCTAGTCATGCTTACATGTTGCCATGTCCCTTAACTATTGTATTAGTACAATATATTTTAGCAGTCAAACCCTTGGTTGGGGGATCTGCTGCCATATCACTCACTTGATGGGAGCTAGCTCACAATTACCTTATTCCTTTCGTTCCTTGAATATGGAAATATTCAACTTCGATGTGTCGATCCTTAGAATTAGTTGCTCCATTATCAATATTCAACTTTGATGTGTCGATCCTTAGAATTGGTTGCTCCATTATCAATAAAAGCTATTGCCGTCTGATTATCATTGTTTGTTGTTTATGTCTAGTTGTGTTCTTCCTCCATTGTATTTCTAGTCGTTTTCTGCCTCCATTGTATTTCAAATAGCACATCTTTTTCTCACTTGACCATAAAATGACATCTCCACCAATGATGAAAACATGGCTAGAGGCCGACGACCTATGGTCAAGATGCCCTATGAAACCACCTCAGAGGATTACTGAACTCCCTTAAGATCCACCTAGTAATGTGATTTGTAACTCTCAGTTTCTTCGATGTATTGAAGAATGCTCTTAACTGCCTGCCAATGAGCCATTCGAGGGTGAATTTGGAATCTACTCAAATTATGTCCAATGAAATACATAACATACATTATACTTCCTATACCTTGTTCGTAAAGAATATTTTCCATTTCAGTCTTATCTTTATTGCTTGATGGACACATGGCCTTATCCTATTTCATTTTTTTACAAATTGGTATGCTAATGGGTTTGCAATTATCCATTTTGGATCTTTATGGGCATTCTCAAGATATTCCTTGGGATAAGCATAAGAGTCTTTCCTTTTTGTTTCTTGCAATCGTTATGCCTAAGTCAAAAGATGCTTCTCTCATGTCTTTTATTTCAGATCGGGAATTTAACCATTTCTTGGTTTGAGTTAACTTGCAAGTTATTTCCAACCAATAACATTGTATCATCTACATACAACAATAACATCACAAATTTACTCCCATTATGCTACACATATACGCAATGATTTAGTCAATTTGGGTACATGATCAATTTGAATAATAACATTGTGAAATTTCAAATACCATTGTCTGGGAGATTGTTTCAAACTATACAAGGATGTCTTTGGACTTTATTTTCTTCTCCTTCAACTGTATAACCTCCAGATTGTTTCATATTGGTTTCTTCTTTTAAATCACCATACAAGAAAGCTATCTTAACGTCCACTTGGAATAAGTCCTGAGTCGTAATTAGCTACCATAGCTAAGATTATTCTGGTGGATGTAAGTGTTGCTACAGGTTCAAAGGTTTATGTACAATGTCTACCCTCTTGTTGTATAAATCCCTTAGCTGCTAATCTAGCTTTGAATTTATCTATTGGAATGATGTTAAAAACTGAATCGACTGGCCAGTCTTGATCGGGAACCACTGAGCTAGTGGCTATTTTTGTTGGTCGCAGGTCCGGACTTCCATCAAATTGACATAGAACAGGTGGACTGGTCGGTTCGACCGATCTAGGTCTAACCAACTATTCCTAATATGGCTTGAAAAAGATGAAAAAAACCTTATTTTTAGTTTTTCATAACAAATTTCATCATCTTTTAGGGCTTTTGGGTCTATTTGAAATAGTTTAGTGGAGTTTTGATATTATTAATATTTGGGAAGGTTTGGGGTTTAAAAAAGTGAATTTTTAGAGAGAAGGCTATTTTGGCGATTTTTGCTCTCTGTACCCAAAAACTCCATATGCTTAAGTGAAAATCCAATAATTTTTTGGGGAGGATCCTGCCATCAATCTGCTGTGTTTCAGGCCACCAAGTAAATTTATTACACCTTTTTTTTGATATGTGTGTTTTGTATTTATAAAAATTGAAATCAATTTCAGATCTTTAGGGTTTTTGCAAGAAATGATTTTTTCCGTTTTATTTTCAAATCAATGCAATGGGTTGTTTCTTGTATTAAATTTAATAGTTGTTTAACTTTAATAAGTTTTTTGTTGCAGGTTTTTGCTTGTTTTGTAGCTTATAACAGATGATGTTTTCTAATTTTATTTCCATTCCTACTAATTTTCTGATTTTTTTATTTTAGTTTTTCCATATTTTTCTCTATTTTAGATTTTTGTTTTTTTCCTCTTTTTTATTTTTACTTTTTAACTAGTCTGACAGTGAACTGATCCGGTTCTTCAAGTCCAGTTGAAACAATGTTCTCTCCAATTCGACCTCCAGTCTGGTCTTAACAACAATGATATGTCGTGCCATCTGATATAGAATCCACTTACATTGAATAGCCTTTGTATCTTCTGAAGGTTCACTAATTCCCACGCATGATTCTTTTCTATAGAGTTGATGTCATCATTCATTGCATTAATTCCCTCTAGCAATTCATATGATTAGTGGCTGCTTTGTAACTACATGGTTCATTGATGTCTTCTTCATTTATATCGGGATAGTTGTCCTCAATCCTCACTCATGAAAACAAAGTATTCACCAAAATGAGAAGGACGAGCTCTATTTCTGTGGAATCTATATGATATATTGTTTTGAAGTAAGTTATCACTCCCAGAAAGTTTATTATTAAGTTCTATCATGGTAATACTCTTATTTGGTGTCCTCTTGTTGATGAAATATTCTAGAATACGGGCATAGAAAGTACTCTTATTTGGTGTCCCTTGTTGATGAAATATTCTGGAAAACGGGCGTCTCTACTTTCTATATGACTTCTATTCTCATGGTCATTAAATCTACATTAGAATCAGAACACCTTATGAATGGATACTTGATAGTTTTACTTTTAAGCTTGCCTAAGATGTTGCGAGAATTGGTACAAGTACATGTGCTGGTGATTCCCGATTCTCAAGATACTTAGGGTCTCATTTTCGCAATTTCATTATTTATATTATGTTATTTCATTATTTATATGGTGGAGATTGGTTACCCAGGGCAACCACCTCTTGCACCACATCCTCCTGTCCAAATATCATCTTACCTCCTCACCTTGGTCCATCCTGGCCTGTTCTCACTACCGGGCCTCGGGGTTTTGGAGTTCTATTTTATATTCTCTCTCTCTTTTCAAGGAACGCATCCGCTTTTCCCCCAGGGACGGGTCTAGCATTCGCTTCTGGCTGGACCCCTGACTTGTTCCCTCTCCTCCCTCTGTTCATTTCCCCTCCCTATTCCATCTTGCCTGTGACCTGTCAGCTTTTATTCTCTCGCTCTTCCCCATTGACAGCAGCCCTAGGACTTGGAATACCGACTTTCGTCAGTCTTTGCGTGATACCGAACTCCCCGAATTCCAGGAGCTCTCTCTCCTCATCGCCTCATCTCCTCTGCTTAGGAGGGGAGAGGACTGCATTATATGGTCTGCCTCCCATTCTGGAAGATTTTTGGTGGCCTCCCTCTATCGTTCCATCTCCTCTCCAGCTCCGGGTACCCCTCCGTGTCATCCGGCCATTCCCAAAGCATGGATTACCATCATCCCCCCCATAATCTAGTTCTTCATTTGGCTGCTGTGTGGGGAAGGGTGCTCACGGTAGATCTCCTTCAAGTGAGAGGCCTACTCATACCCAATCGATGCGCCATGTGCTTGGAGGCTGAGGAAACAAATGCCCATCTTCTCCTCCATTGTCCAGTTGCTGCAGCAATTTGGCATTCCACCCTCTCTCTTTTCAGCTGGTCCTGGGTCACACCTCCAAACGTTCACAACCTCGTCTACAACTCGTCTTTCCTCCCCTAGCCGAAAGCCAGGGCTCTGCTTTGGAAAGCCACGATTGGGGCGACCTTGTGGACTAAATGGAAGGAACACAATAATCGCATCTTCCAAGGGGAGATTGCACCCCTCTTCAAACTCATCGACTCCATTAGGGGTTCGGTCATTTTCTGGGCCATGAACCACACACTTTCTTTCCAACTGGACCCATATCCTCAACCACTGGCCCACCTCGGTGCCTCCGTCTGTGCTATGGAGACCCCCAGAGAGTGGTGGGGTCAAACTCAATTTTGACGGCTCATCTTTGGGCAATCCTGGGCCAGTAGGCATTGGAGGAGTCTTTTGGGATGACCAGGGGATTACCCTTCTCCCCTACTCCTTGATTGGGGTAGCAGACTCCTCTAAGGTGGAGGCCCAAGCACTCCTCGAAGGCCTTCAACGCTTCGACAGCTCTTGGGGCCTCCCCCTATGGGTGGAAGGGGACTCCCAAAACATCATCTCTTGGGCATCCGGCGATGCCCAACCCCCGTGGAGACATTGGCACCTCTTTGATGCTATCCTTGATCTATGCAAGGCTATGCTGGTCTTTTGGACTCATATTTGGCGGGAGGCCAACCAGGTCGCTGACAGGCTAGCAAAACAGGGAGCTGCCTCCGTTCTACTTCTGGGCTAAACGCACCTCTTGCCTATTACGTGGGCATATCCTTTTTTGGTTTTTTGCCTCCACAGCGCTGGGCGGCTTTTGTTTTCTTAGTCAGTTGTATCGATGGAGCTCTGACCCCTTTTTTTGGTTCTCTTTTGTCACTTCCTGTGGTGACATTTTGTGTTGTATCTCTTTCACCTTCAATGCAATGTTAACAGGATCAAAAAAATATTGTGTTATTTCAACAGCCTTATATGGAACCCTGTACACAATGAATGTTGATAGTTTGTTACCCAATATGCCATCCCCAAAGCATGGCTTATCATGGATGTTACCATCTCTGTACAGAGTCTTGTTTCATCCTTTAGCAATACTGTTTTGTTGAGGGTTATTCAGGAAAGTTGTTGGCTGTAGAATACCATGTTCTTGACAAAAATCATTAAATAACAATGAAGTGTATCCGCCTTCTTTTCATTTCTTAGAATTTGAGTGTGCCATCCTAAGTGGTTTTCTTCTTAAATTTTAAAAATATCCAAGACATCTGATTTCTTTGGTATAAGAATTTCTCGAGCTTTGTGACACATGCGTAGCAGTCGGATTTTACATCCGGCGGCTAGAGGCGATTATAACCTTCTTGTACCATAGGTAAATGGTCTTATTGTATAGTATCCCATAAAGTATCTCATGCCTCTATGAGTTCTTCACGTCCAATGGACCAAAATATCTAAATCAGTAGTTTAAAAAACGAATCGTTGCCTTAGATCGAGCGCCTCAAAAACCCATCCGGATCGGTGAATCGGCAATCCGGATCAGGAATCAGCTGAATCGGTCGAATTAAGCCTTAAAAAAATCCAAAAAAATTATTAAAATTCATTATAAATGTTGTTTTTAAGGAATCCAATAAGAAATGTGGGTACTACATTATTAAATTTCATTTTTTTCATCAATTTACGAATATTGAGATGTTCTTTCCCTGTATGAACTTATGTTAACCATTAAATTTGCATCACAAAAAAGAAAAATCATAGAATTATCATGGATGAAGTATATAATCATACATGGATTACAATAAAAGAATGGATTAAATCGATGAAAAATAGCCACTAAAATATCGAATTGGCAGGAAACCCTAATCCACTAAAAAAAACCCAAATTATTACAACCTAACTAACTATAATCCATAATTATTACAACCTGACTAACTATAATATTATATATTGAAATTGAAATTGTTGGTTTACATTTTATAATTATTTTATTATTCAAATAATAACAAATCCAAAATATCTTATAATCTCATCTAATTTAAAATATTATTGACAACTGTAAGAAAAATAGTACATTACATGATTTATAATGCAAATAAATTAATAAATAAAATATAAGATTTGGTTATCAGTGTAGAAATTATTAGAATGCGTATCAATTTTCGAAATAACACTTTAATTTTTCAAAAATTTAATTTTTTAGGTTTCTAAAATAAATTTAGTGGAAGAGATTGTTAGTAGTGAGAGAGATTTCAAATGGCCTCATTGTATGAACCCTATCTTTAAATTAATATTCCTAAATTTATGTTAAGGATCACCATGTTATAAAAATAAAAAATATAATTACATCATTTATTCCTAGGTTGACAAGAAATACTTGTTGTATTACCTTTTTTTTTTTACAAGAAAAATATGATACTCGTTGTATTACCTTTTATTTTATTTTTTGGACAAGAAAAATAAGAAGTTGTATTACCTTTTTTTTACTTATTGTATTACCTTTTATTTTTTATTTTTGATAAGAAAAATAAGAAAATGATGTTGTCAAGGTACCTTTTATTTTATTTTTTGACAAGAAATACTTGTTATATTACTTTTTATTTTTTCTTTTACAAGAAAAATAAAAAGATGTTGTATTACTTTTTTTGTTTTTTTGTTTTGACAAAAAATGCTTGTTATATTACTTTTTATATTTTCTTTTTATTTATTTTTATTTTTTTTGACAACATTATTTTTTCCTTGTATTTTTTTAAAAACAAAAATAAGACACTAGATAGCTCCCAGACGGTTCGAACTTGAGACGCTTAAGCTGAAATCGGTAGTGATAGCCAACTACACCACATCACCGGATGATGCTTTTCTTTCTATAATAAATATATATATATTATATTACTGTCTCAACTCTCCACGTTATATTTGTCCCACATCGAAGGATGAATGTAACATTTCTCTCTATAAATAGCTGTATGATAAGGACTCTTGGTACATGCGTAAAAGCACGGGGGTAGCCCATATGACGTTTGAGGTGAGGTGCCACGTAAAGCTGCAATTCAACGGGGTTGAGGTTGCCACGTGTGGCCATGGCCACCGTCAGGCAACATATATTTAATTTTGGCGGGTTTGAGGTGCCACGTGTCGATATTGGATATCGGCGGCCACATGTAGGTAGCTGTGTCGTGTCCACTCGCTCGATTCACTGTAGCATATCACCGAGAACCGACGATTCCTCTCTAGACACACCCGATTTCCGGTATTCCATAGGAATTGACACAGGGTGGTCGATTTCCGTGTCGACCCGGGTGATTCCGGGTTGACTCGTTGTTTTTTAAATCCCTGATCTAAATGCATAATGTTTAATATCCTAATAACCTCTGCAATAGAAATGGTTTTCTAGTCAACTTTCCATTCAATCATGGCTCACAATTTTGATAATTGATTAGGAATTAGGCCAACCTTTGCTAACTTATGTTTTTTTCCCCCGTTAATTCATATTTTCTAATCTTTAATGCCATATGCGTGCATCATTCATGTCCCTATTTATCACACTATCAACATAAGAACAAGAAGAAGCATTCTTTTTATTGTCATTAGTATGATATAAGGTATCAATTTTCCTTCTTGAAGCTGAGACTTGACCATGTCTCCCTATTCAGACTTTCCTTGACCTAAAATGGACTTCGAGACCCTTTTCATCTAACTTAGGATTGAAATCAAACTACAAATGTATTAGAAAAAAGTAGTTTTATATTTCCAGGCAAGTGGAACTTATAAATTCAAACCCAAAAATGTCACAATAGCTGTTCCCGTATGAATTTGTTGGTCGCCATCTTTGATCTCCTTATATTCACAAAGCCATATCTAGTTCTTGCAACATGTATAGTCGAAGCCGAATCCACGAATGGCTTGAAAACCACATGTGTGGAACCTTGCTTTCTCCCACCGTTATTATTCTTCTTTTGAGGACAATTAGACTTGAATTCCCTTCCCCTACCACACAAAAAATAATTTCTATTGATTGTGTTAGTGTGTGGCTATGCAGGGCAAATAAATAACAAGACTTGATCGATAAAAGTGAAATTAGTTAAAACCATATGTTATCGTGTAAACTTGCTCTCTTTTTTTATGGTTTTTTTAAGATATGTTTTATTATAAATAAATACTAAATTTGATTATTTACTAGAAGGTTTTATTTGAATTAAGAGAAGCGCCATTGAATGAAGGAATGTGACCGTTGGAAAAATAGTTGTCTCAAGCGATATCTGGTTTACGTGGTTATGACTTTGTGGGGGGAGCCATTTGTGAAACAACTAATCTCTTCAAAGAGACATTGGATGTTGGCTATTTGAGAGATTATCCTCCTTGGGACATACATTCTGGATACCCCATCATTCCATCAATATTCTGAAGGTCAAGTATAGCTGGGTATCCACAGTTAACAGTACACTTACATGTCTCTCTCTTAGTCTCTGTGTGCTCTCATAAGCAGCTCCAGTAAAAGAGAACTGATTTTTATTTTGTGAGATTTTTAAAGAGAACTGATGTGAAATCTTGATGTGTCTTTAGGTCTTAAATTGGTGATTATGTTGTTTTCATCATAGTTGTATTCATGAAAGTAAGGGTTAGATCATTTGGACATCACTTTTCTCAACTTTTCTTCATTGCCTTGTCATTCTATTGATCAGGTTTATGGGCAAGATGATGTGATCAAACACATATATCTCTCTTTATATTTATTTGCAATTGGCTTCATTAAATTTATATTCAAAATTGCCTGTGATTTTAGTGTCATTGTCATCCAGGACTTTAGTTTCTGTCTTCTGAGACTGAGTGTCTCTCTGTTTAAAGAATAATACATGTGTGTGTGTGTGTGCGTGTATGTGTGCATATAGTACTTGAGCTATACCAGTGACTTTTGCTATCCTCAGCACCAGAATGCTGGATGATACACTGAGTGGCCCTCTCTCTCTCTGACACACACACACACACACATGCGCACACACTATTTATTACAGTGAAACTCTGTACCATTGGACAAATGTCTTACCTCTATTGAATTCTCTATATTTTCATTTGTGGGATCTGATTGGCATGTCAATGTGGATTTCAGGCAGAACTTGCGGTGGGCCTTTTCAAGGTAAGAGTTTTTTGTTCTCTCTAATGAGTCTTTTTTTATTGAATAATTCTTTGCAGGTGTAAATTTCCTTTTTCTTCTTTAGTTCTTTTCATTAATTTTTTACTTTATCTTCATTGGATATCAGCAAACATAGTCCTTAATATGAACTAGTGTCTGTTATGGTTAACATGTGATGTTTGTTTCAGGAGAAACCTAGAAACCATTTAGATATGCGGCATCGTTTGGACTCAAAGGGACAACGTGAAGGGAAAGTGATTGATTACAGGTACCCTCCAAGAATGGAGTTATGCTCTGTTTTTCTTTAGGGTATTGCCACTCCTGATTTTCTTTGGTCATGTTTGAATGACACTTGCTGAAGTGTCATGTTTATCATTGTGGAAACAAAAGTATGGAAGGTTTTAGGTACATATGTTGAATATCGTTTCATTTTTTTGCAATGGGAAGGATGCTTTTCATTTTTTTGTTATAATACTCGTTTTTGGTATGAAGGTTTGTCAGTTTGGCTGTTGATTTGTAATTATGAATCTTTAGTAACTGCATGATAATTTTATCACCATACATCTACAGCGGAAGTGTTTGCTTACTCTTAACTCAGTAGTACATTGGAACTAGTAATTGGCTAGACATGTGGTGGATGGCAGTTTTCTTTCTTCTGAAATCATTCTACCGCGCAAGTGATTTGTTCTTGTAACTATAGATGAGAAGCCTTTGATGTTTCCTATTGTGTTTATTATGGCATACTTTATTTGGTAAATGATTATTAGTAGCCTCTTTTACCTTGAATTTGAAAAGTGCTGTCTGCACGGCCTATTGTTCAAATATTGCAATATGTTTCTACTCAAATATGATGATTTAATGGATGCCTGTTTCTAAGTGATCAACTTTGTTGATTTTGTTGAGTTAGGGTCAGTGAGTTGAGGGTTGTTGAACTGTTGGATGGCCTTTGTGAGAAAATGCAAGATTATACTCTAGATAAGGTAAATAAATAGTAGATAGTCATAGTTCCATGCAGTAAATTATGGATATTAACTTTTCTTGATAGTAACTACCATGCAATAGTGGTAACTTGTGATTTCTTTTTCCTAATTTTACAAGAGTTAATGGTTTTTAAGTGGTTGATTGTATAGCACATTGAATATTTTCTCTCTCTCTCTCT